TAAGTAACCATGGTCTGAAGATCGCAGTTGCTGGGTTTAACTTACTTAACCTTCTGCGATAACACCACGAAGTGCCACCGTTACAACTCAAAGCGCCACCGTTATAACAGTATCTTCCGCAAGAAAAGACACCGGCAAACCCTACTGACCGAAGAAATGCAAGGATTGCTATCCTTGAAATCTGACCAAAGCATCGTTGTTGTTCACGCTGACAAAGGTGACGCTACTGTTATCATGGACAAGGAAAATTATGTCAATAAAGCGAATGCAATCTTCAGTGACACGGATGCTTACACTCTCCTGGCCGAAAACCTGACGAAACAGCAAGCTGCAGCCATCGAGAAGAAGATGAATCAGCTCGCTCGCGAAGAATGATAAAGCTAGGTGATGCCAAGTGGATGAGCCTCGGTGATCTCCGCATCCCATGTGCATATGGTCTCCCAAAAGTGCACAAATAGCATGGTCCACTTAGAATCATAGCATCATTAATCGGGTCACCCAATTACAATTGAATTATGTGGTTGTACAGGAAGTTGAAAAAACTAACTCATAGACCAGAGTACAGCATCAACAACTCGCAGGAATTCCTTAGTAGGATCCACGACCACAGAGTAACTAACCATGAATGTCTCCTATCTTATGACGTATTCACCTTATCTTCATCCATACGACAAGACTTGACAATTGATTGCGTATACAGGACAATCCTGTCGAGATCCCAACGCAGTACATTATAGAACTTCTCAATCGCTGCCTTAGGAACTACTGTCAATTCGACAATAAGTATTACCAACAGGTAAAGGGAACCCCAATGGGCTCAGCGGTCTCAGATCTACTGGCAGAACTAATATTACAGCGATTAGAAGAAGAGGTTATTCAAACTCTTAAGCCCACAATATGGCTCCCTTATGTAGCTGACACCTTTGTCGCAATAAAGAAAAACGATGTTGAAGTGCTACTTCAGAGACTGACTGAGGTCCTCCCAGCCATACCGTTCACTCGTGACGATGCAGTAGGAGACATGTTGTCTTTTCTTGATGTTAAAATACACAAAACTTAGCGATGGCAATCTAGCCACAAGCGTCTATAGGAAAGGATTCAACGCGGAGATTATCTTAAATTATAGTAGCAACCACACCGCTGTTCACAAAAGAAGCTGCGTCCGAACTCTATTCATTCGGGCTTATCGCTATTGCAACAGCGACGATCTCCTTAAGAAAGAACTCGCTTACCTGTATCAGTTGTTTCGATGTAATAGATATTCGATCAGTTTTGTAAAGAACTGCCTCAGGCTTGAAGCACAATCGTAAGCACCCAACACTAACGAGAAATGACGAAGTGGAAATCCTACTTCCTGCCTTATATGCAAGAAACTTCCAAAGTAGGTGCCAGACAGTTAAGTCGCTTCGATATCCACATCGCGCACAAACCAGCATAGTCATTACGCGCAGCGCTATCACGTATAAAGGATTCTATTCCAAAAGAGCAAAAATCAAATGTGTTTTATCGTATACCGTGTGCAGATAGCTCTTGTGAATATGTTGGCCACACAGGTCGACTCCTGGGCGCCCACATCCGTCGCAAGGACCTCCTGTCCCTCGTCTTCGCACATGCAATTCAGTGCGGCCATCGATTTAATTGGGGTGACATGAAGGTCGTCGCCATGGCCAACACAAAACGAGCGCGAGAATATATCGAGGCTTGGTACTCTACGGCAGGCAGTATCAAGCGCCACGTTGACTTAAAAAAACAAATTGGTGGCTTAAAATCAAGGCTTACCCTTTCCTTTTCTAATTAACACCTCAGCGACCGTTAACCAGCTACCCTCCCTTGCTGCACACAGAGTCCCGCAGCTTTTTAGTCCCCAGGCCATCCAGGAACAAACTGTGACTCACGCCATTGGTCGGGTTCTCCCTGACCCTCATACTGTTTACTGCCTTCCAACTTTCTCACTTCCATTTATTTTGTCTGAAGACAACCTAGTGTCCCTAGCTCGAATATAAGTAACTTAAACTTGATAATCTGAAGAAACTCCATCCTTCTTCATATATATAGGAATATGTACCGAAAGATTCGGGATCCAGATATGTTGTCGCGTTCATCATCTCCCAAAGGTAAGGAAGAAGAAGAGGGGGCGGGTT